AACCAAGTGTTTCGGTTTCACCCCAAAACTTTCACTTGTATCCGCTCACCAAATCAGCCTATTTGGAGGTGACACGTGGTAAACGCCGGCGGTGCTTTGCAAGGGTACGTAACGGTTTAACGGTGTAAAATGAAGGTTTCAGTTTTGGCAGCTTTGTGGTCCACTATATTAACGACACATATGTAACGTTGGAGACTGCGCAGACATTCCCAGTTTGACATTATTAGTTACTCTTTTCGGTCTATTTTAATTAATATTTTTTACTATTTTCACATATATTAAAAAATTTATCTTTTACTATTAATTAATAATAAAATTAATCATATTAACTTTAATTTACTTATTAAAAATTACTCATAGACTCTTTACTCCAAAGACAGCTTTAGAAAAAAGAAATTAACTCCTTTTTGATATCTGAAATAATCAAATATTACAAACCACAAAAAAAGGGCAAAAAATCAATTAAAATGGACCACAGAGAGTATTTCAATATCTGTTAAATCTTTGTACACCAATCTTTGCAAATTAATGAAATTCAATAGGAGTATTTAAAAATACCGTGGAATATTAAAAAAATATATTTGAAAAGTAGTTTAAATTAAAATGAATTTCACACATATAGTTTCATTGTTTCAAATAAAAGACTACTTCTACTTTCATTTTTTTTTTATACCTTCAACCAAATTTTGTCTAAAGGCCTACTACGAGCCTGTTTGGCCAAGCTTCTAGAGGTCAAAAATATTTTTTGTTAAAAAAGTAGTTATCAGAAATTTAAGGTATTTGGCCAAGAAAAGTATTTTTGAGTAGCAATAGAAGCAGTTATTCTACTTTTGGGGGAAAATTATAAATTCTAGTTTCATCCAAGAAGTAGAAGCAGAAAATAATTTTTTTCAAGTTTCATATAAAATATTATAAGATTATAAATCATTCATCACGATTATTAGGGTTGATCCTTTGAATCTTTCTATCAGATTCGACTAAATCATAAATGAATTGATTAGTAAAAATTATATGTCTCATGACAAGTTCAATGTTCAATTGTTTTCTTTATTTGTTGTCTGAACCTAATCTCTTTCATTCTAACGTACAAGTTACTTGCACGCTATAAAATACCGAATGAAATTTTAAAACAAAAACGAAAAAAAATATTTATTAAATTATTTATAGAACGGAAAGGAAAAGAATACTAAAGAGTTTCACACACTGAGTTTAATTCTATCCAAGAGGATTCAATCTTTGAATGTTCCCCATTTGACTGGATTCTGCAGTTTATCCAATACTGTTCAATCATTGAATAAAAAAAAATAAGACGAATTATTTAATCGAAAGCTGTTTAAAAATAATACTATAATTCCTATTTTCTGGTTTCCTTAAAATTGGATTCTTGACATTGACATGTTATCGGATAGTTGGTGATAATTATGATGTAATCATATGCATATGGTTGTTTGTCGATGTTTTTTTAATCAGTTTTCACGTTAATAATGAAGAGAAATTCTACAAAATAATCACAAATACTATTTAAAGAAATTTACGAAAACTAAAATACACTACAAAAAATGACCAAAAAGAAACTTTCTAAATTACTTATCGGGGTTGAATGTAAACACAATAATCCTGGAGTTATAAACAACTCTTAATATCCAACCTATCAAAAATTATGTAGGATGTGTTTGGATAAACAACACGAAAAGTTCAAAACATAATCAGGTATGTTACTTGTATTAGTAGTATGATGTGATTTAAGTATTTAATATTCTATGAATTGATTTCCTCATAAGGTGGATTAATTTGGGTCATATCTAAATCTTATCTTGTCATGTTTCTATAAACGTCAAATATTTTTCACCTAAATGTAGGTTTCAATAATAGCAGAGGTCGTGCGCAGCTGGTGCAGGTGTGTTCTAGGAAGGTTTGAGCACGTGAAATTATTAAGGGGTTTTGCTTAGTTCTAGAAAAATTGTTAGGTAACAGTCCTAAATTTTGGCTGCTTTTCTCTTTGTTGAATATTCTGGAATTAGTAGGCATTCAAAAATTATATATTACTACATCAGTTGGTTCAAAAACTCCCAATCTCAGCTTGCCATTTTGCTTCATATTCTGCCAAATTTGTGTTTTGTCCTATGAGATAATGCATAATGTTCAGTTCCTCTAAAACTATGAAAAACAAGTCAAAAACTCAAGTAAGCTGAATGCCCTTAAATTGACTATTATAAGATGGACTTATACTGTATTTGTGACCGACCTTCTAAAATTAATTTATTTTGGAAAGTATTTTTTTTAAAAAAGTACTTTTAGTGAGAATAAGCTTGTGTTTGACTAATTAATTTGAAAAGCAATTTTGAGCATAAATTAGTGTGTGGTCAAGTTTTTAGAAATACTTCTAAGTGTATTTTTCTCAAAACTGTTTTTGGGAAGAAATTACTTTTTTCTGCTTCTGCTTCTACTCAAAAGTAATTTTTTCCTTCTAAAACTTTAGCCAAACATCTTAACTTTGAAAAAAATACTTTTGACCAAAAAAAAAAAATTAGCGAAAAAGAAGCTTAGCAAACAAGCTATTAATAAAAAAAAAACAAGTTAGAACTTTCAATGTTGAATGCCCATTTTTCAAAATTGACAAATAATTGTTCTGAAATGATTAACTTTTACCGGTATCAAGCGCTTTTATTTGTTTGGAACCTAAAACTTAAATTCATTTCATAAAATATGCTGAGAACTTCTGAATAGTTAATTGATGGATAGTTGTTTGTCAACTAAAGCTTCTAAACTTTTATTTAGAAAAAGGTAAATTAAATAGAAACAATCAAACAATTACTGTCGATTGGCAGCAAAAACGATGGATTTATGAATTGAAATGCGTCCAAGCACTGTGCCAAAGCTTAGGCTGAATTCTTTGGACTTTTTAAGAAATATTATGAATATATCAGTCCTTTTTTGTCCAATTATTTGTCACTATGTTGTGGTAGAGACTCAAGCAACTTGTATCTTATAATTACTTTGGCTAAGAAAATGACCTTATACGAACCATTTACAATTTGAATAGAAGATAATGAGCATACAAAGATCTCCTACATTTTATTTTCTTATCTCTTGTATTATTTTTTTTAATAGGTAACCTATAAACTAAAGTCATATAACGTAAAAACAATTGTAATTAACCATAAAACTGATCTTTCCTGTCTTGGTTTGTTTTCTTCATTATATTTCTTATTTTCTTGGTGTTGGAGGAGTGGGGAGGATTTTGAGAAGTATGCATGAAATGTGAACTATTAGGGTTTGTGCAATTATTGGAAAAAAAAATAGTGAAGTGGCCCTTCAAATTTAGACTTTTTGTCATTTAGGGTCCTCTAAAATGCTGTGAGTTGCTCTCTCTGTCTCTGATTTTGAAAAAATCAAGTGTCCATGCATTTGTATTGGCAAATAAAATTATTGGTTGGCATTAATCATCTTAACCTATCCTCATCCTCATTTTGAACTCTATTATTGGCTTTTGTCTTGTGGGTGTCTTCTCGCAATTTACAAGGTGTATACTATCATAAAGAGGACATAAAGTATTAAAAAATTGCAGTCTCTCCCCCTTCCTTATGTTGATATTAGAATGAATTTTTATATATATATTGATAGTGTAAATTTTTTATCAATAATTTTAACATATGATAGTAGGTTAGTTACTATTTTTATCAGGTTATGAGTTTATACTTATCATGGAGATCTCGATAATTACCTTAATTATTTTTTATTGCATACAACTTATACTCTAGAGTACAGTATATGTATATATATAGTCTCTTCATAGTCAAACACGTTATTTAAGTACTTTCTTATTACAAGCCATACAGTAGAGAGAGAACAATTATTTAGTTTTTACTATTTCTCCCAGTGATGTGATTACTGTAATTGAAGTTTGAAAATGTTGACTATTCAGAAGACAAAGCATGTTAATGAATCTCTTTCAGCCAAATGCAAACATCATATTGGCATGTTGGAGAAGGACTTAAATAATGTTGAATTGCATTATATATATAGGAGCTATTTTTGTTTTCTGGCTATCTTTTTAAATTGGTCCCAAAGAAATTCAACATGGGACATAATATTTCATAATGTGCCAAATTTACGAGGAAAAAATAAAAATGAGTGCCCCCACCTATCACCACTTGTATGATGTTTATCTCTTAGCTAAGAAAATGATAGCTCACTCCTTTTCATCTAACCTAGTTGGTCAGGGAAGCGGCCCAGAATTTGAAGATCGCGGGGTGCACTTTTTGATTCAACTAAAATCTAATCTGTATATAAGGACACGATTTTCTAAAGACATATACATGTATATATGAAATTTTTGCCTAACTTTACGGGTGCTTGTGACCCATCTACCTATTGCATAGGTCCGCCTCTGGTTAGGCCCATGGAAAACAATTCTAGTCACAGTTTACTCGTCTTTTATATTTATTTTAGTTAAAGTTTTGAACTTAAAAATTAATTTTAAAAGCGAATAAATATTTGTTAGATGGAAAAGGATTAAAAAAATTAAGAATATAAACAACAACAACAAGAAGTGTAGTCCCACAAGTGAAGTCTAAGAAAGATAGTTTGCACCAACCTTACTCCTACGTTGTGAAGGTTTAGAGACTATTTCTGATACACCCCGGCTCAAGCAAAGCACAGTCATAGCAGCTTTAAAAAGAAATACAGGAGTGAAAAAGCCGAGAAACAATATCGACATATAAAAAATTAAGAATATAAAAAAAAATAAAATATCATAGTGAAGTGTTGTGGAGAGATTGAATTTGGCTCATATTGCTGAGCTTACTTGTAAGATCACACTGCAACTTTCAGTATAGACTTCTCATGAGAGACCAGTTAGGCATGAAGATAAGTGTTAAGGCTCTATTATTAGTATAGACAATAAGAACCTTTGGGTACTGAGCTTGCCTATTATGAAAAGATAAGTGCTAAGGCTCTGACCAATTCAAGCTCAGCTTCATCTACCCACAAAAGTCAGATGAATGCAAAGCAACTTGGACTACTTCAATAAGAACAACAAATATGAGAATAATACATGTTATGAATGAAGGAAACAGGAACAACTAGTTCTTAGACAAACCACATATGGGGACAAGCCATTGTACAAGGACCAACAATGGTGGAACAATGTATGCCATGGATATGCCTAGCTCTAATCAAACAATCGGCCGCAGCACTGCAAAATTGATGAAAGTATTTAACAATGAATGAGAAGGGGAGGAGGAAAAATATCTTCACTAGATAGGTAATGGTGTGTGCAATGATAATATGTTGAAGCATTGGTCTTCTTGGTGTCTTTGGATTTGTGAAGATGCTTTCTGCTTTGAGTGGCTTCTGATACGCGGCTTGCTGATGTACTTCTCTGGCCAATTTGCTTGACGCACAGCGCTTAATCTTCCATTTTTGCTAACAGCATAAGGGAAGCTAATTGTGCCTGGAGCCTGTTGCTCCTTCGGAAGTTCATGAATACTAGATGGAGTGAACAATGGAGACGGCTTTGGCCTCAACTTTCCTTCCTTCCAAGCCGTGAATGTATGCAGTAAATTAGATGGCACCTGCAGGCCAAAAGAAAATTCCATAAGTTTGTAATGAATGTAATGCTGACCCCAACTTGCTTGGGATTGAGGCGAATTGTTGTTGTTGCAATGAAGGTAATGCATTCAGTAAAGATGAATATTGTCTACTATTCCTTGTAGCAGCTACCCTTTACCAGACATCATTACTCAAATTCTTTAACATCCTTTACTGAAATTTCTCAAATAACAATCTGTTCACATAGTCTAAAAATTTCTAGTAGTTTGATATAAGCTACGGAGTATTAATTAGTTTTGAGATATGCTTGAGTGATGCTGAATGATCATTTCATTATGTTAACCAAAGGTGTGCACTTTAAGTAACCCTCTTTAGATTCTTTTCGGGAAACTATAAATAAGTTTCACTAACGAAACTTCAAGTGCTTTCAAACTTACAGCAGAAACCAGGCTACAGGCGGCAAAGGACAAAGAAGATGCTCCAAATGGAGCATTTCCAGTTTTGCCATCCTTCTTAGCTGAGCTTAGATTGTCAACAGACCCGAAACTTGATGCAGTAACCTCCTCTTCGTCCTCCTCCTCCTCTTCTTCCTCCTCATCTTCCTTCTTTTCCGCCCACGTTTTCTCAACATTATCTGTTGGTTCAGAAAGTAGAATATCATCTTCTTCTTGGATTCCCATTTCAACTTTCTTTTCCTCCTCTTCTTGCATTCTCTTTAATTCGTCATCCATGTCTTCCATTGCCTCCTTCAGAGACAATTCCGCTTCTGCTAATTCAAGCTCTTTCTTCAAGAGCTCTATCTTCACCTCACCTGCTTTCTTTTTCTCTTCAGTCCACTTCTCCAGCTTTTCAAACATAGGTTTGCATGTGTTTTCCACAGAGGTAACAAACCGTTTCCACACATTATCTGATTGGACAGCCCCACCTCGCCCATAAAACTCGTCAAATCCAAGGGGAAGGAATTCAACCTTATCAGGATCAACATCTTCACCCTCTTTTACAGGAGGTTGCCAAAACAATCGTACCCCATGTTCCTCGTCTTCCACATAGTTGATAATCCTTCCAGTTGGAGTGTGCAGGATGACCGGATCTTCGGTATATACAAGTTTAGAAGGATCTTCAGGATCAGGCTCTGGTTCCTTGTTAAGTAGAATAAATTCTGGCTTTTGATCTAAGAAAAAGGAAACAAAAAAGTAAGTCTACATAAAGAGGCTTATCAGAAGAGAGATTAGACATCAGGTCAATTGGGAACTATATGAACAGAAATATATTTACAGGAGAAGTACTAACGGCACGTTTGTGCGCAATCAAAACTGTTTATAGAAAGAAGTCAAGAGTTTCCTCCCTCGCTCCCTCCCTCTCTTACACACACAACATGCACATACATTTGCGACAACATTCTTTCCATGACCATCCCTAATGGATGAGAATGTAAAACAAATAGAAAATCCTACCTTTGGACCACCAATATTCAAGCTCTGCAGGCATAGGTAATCGCAGAGGAGCTTTGTAAAATGAGTTTAGCCACATTTCTCTCTCTTCATCCACATCATGCACATATGCTTTCCAATAATCAGGAACCTGCGTAACAAATGAATCAGTTCTAACTTTTCCAACATTTATAACAGAAAGGATAACAAACAGATTCAACTCNGAGAGAGAGAGAGAGAGAGAGAGAGAGAGAGAGAGAGAGACTGAAAATAAAAAAAAGGAGCAGTTTCTACAATCGTATGCTAGACTCAGCATTATAATAGGACCTCACAATTCAAACGATATCCTAAAAAACCATCTTATGTTCTCAATTTCAAAAACCTTCAATAGCTGAAACGGTTTATTAGTATTTGGGCATTTTATCATATAGTGAGTATTTGAAGTCAGAAGTTCGAGCATGCTCAACCAATCTTCTGCACATCAATTGGCATCAAGAGTAAGCTACACACTCACAAATGTCTCTAGAAGTGTTTCAACAGTTTCCTAAAACAAAATGCTATGTCACATTTGAGTAGCAGTTTGGACAAACAAAAATGTAATAACAGGAAAACATTTTCACAACTACTGAAGAAAAAAGCGATATTACGACCCATTGCATTGAAACTGAATACTGGAACGGGACTGCATTTATGATAATCATATTGCAAAAAACTAGAAGCGCACAATATGGACCTATAATACAAAGTTCTCATAATCAGAGTTCATCTAGTAAATGACTTTCTGATAGTGTATATAGTTGCTTATCCTCCAAATACATTTGATAACCATGTAATAGCATTACTGGTAAACCTGTATGTGCTTGTCCTACACAGAGCGATATCTTCCCCTCATGGTTGTATAAGTTCATTTGGAAAGCCGAACATGACTTTTTATTATTTTTTATAGATGTAGTTGCATAGAGTACAGTTCCATACAATTGTGAACTAGTACCTAAAATAGGGTCTATACACATACATACGATTCTATTTGCTTCATAGGTAGGCTATCTTCTTCATGCGCTGTCCAAACAACCGATTTTCTTCTGTCCAAAGTGCTTATTAATCATATCCTTCAGTTAAACAGATGCACAAGTAAACGCTCTCAGTTGATTAATTACATCTTTAACAAGAATGTCTCGATGTTATAGAAAGAGGTATATCTTGGAGTGCCATAGCTTAGTGAATCACTCATCCAATTAATTGGTCATACACAATCTTTGTCAAATATGTATATAAGTTCCTTTCTTCGTGCCATATTCGACATGTTTTCATTGAAAATCTTAGAGACGAATTTCCTTTTCTTTTTTCCATATTAAACAACATTCTTAAGGAAAATATTTTCTTCGAAGAGGAACTTGAGTCTCGAACTCTGTAAATGATCTACATGACTGTAAATAAGTCCACTCCCTGTTAAATTCCATAATGAAAGGCAAAAAATTGTTATCAGGTTATCTAATTATTTCGCAGTGTAACTAGTCATGGGGAAAGCACGTAAATCTGATAAAGCATAATGACAGGCGAAAAATCATCATCAGGTTATCTAATTATTTCACGTGTAACTCATGAGAGTGTAACACTGTAACTAATCATGGAGGACAGCACGTATATCCGACAAATAAGAAAACACTACATACTTCCATCAGGCTTGTTAACAAACATCCGAGCTTTAGCAGCTGCAACTTCTGCTATACCTGCATGCATCTGAAATAAATACTGTAAATATTTTGTAGGTGTCAGCTAAAAAGCCAAGCTGCATATGCTTAGTCTTCAATTTACCGCCGAAATTTCTGCATCGCATCCATAAGTATCCCTCACAAGTTCTCCAAAATAAAAACGACCCTGCATCAAAACGTGAAAAGAGTTAAATTTGAACTCTATCACCAGGCCTAGATTCTCAAAGCCTCTAAAGATGTATGTGCATCAAAAACATGAAGTGAACAGAAGAAATGATGAGACTAAGAGAACATTGTCAGAATGTGACTCTTCCTTCCATAGCTTTGGAGCTCATTTTGCCATATTTTACTTAAAACTATTGATTCTGTTTAATATCTAGAAGGAGTTATTAAGAAACTTCACATCAATGTGTGAGGACAATAAATCTATTATATTATAGTGGTAAAGCTTTTGTCAGTTGTTTGATGTTTTCTGCACAGCCAAATAATCGGGGGGTTATCCAAGAGCACTGACAGTAGGGTTTCTAGAGTTTTTTTTTTTTTCTTTTCATATCTCAGCAACCTATACTCATAACCTGCTCAGACAGATAGCCCATATACAGCCTTCTAAAAAACAAGAGAGAGAGAGGCCAGGTACAAGCTTGTAAACTGTCTTCTTCGCCAGTTCCTTTTACCCATATGTTGAAAGTTTTTTCTTTGATTTTTATCCCCCATTCTAGGTCTGAAGGGGAGCCTTGGCACAACGGTAAAAGTTTCCGCCGTGTGACCAGGAGGTCATGGGCTCAAGCCGCAATAATAGCCTCTTGCAAAAATGCAAGGTAAGGTTGTGCACATCAAAGCCAATATGGTTTGACCCTTCCGCGGACCCGCGCATAACATAAGCTTAGTGCACTGAGTTGTCCTTTATTCTTGAATACATCTAACTTCCACTAGTAGGGTGGAAGGATGGACAAATTTGCAGTAAGAACTAGTGATAAATTCATCAACTCATATCTTATTTGAAATACCGTCTTTATGCTTTTAAGCATTGAGTACATTCTCCTCATTTTAAAATCATATGCCATGATTTGGCTGTGTGGTTGAAGATTATCTAGTGAGAATGAGAGTGCTCTGCAATTTGTTAAATTTTCTTATTGGACAAATAATTTTACATGAGATGAAGGTTTGATAGGCACTTACATAAATTGTGCGTTCATTAACTTCATATAAACCACAACCATGCATTCTCCCATGCTTCCATTGACCAGCATAGCGATATCGCCCCTTCTCCCTAACAGAACATAATAAGAAGATCGAGTTTAACATGTAAGTTCGTGCCTTTGGGTCAATTCCCCACTTACTCCAAGTTTATACATAGTAGAGACCACAGTAGATCAGCAAGTGAATAAGGATAAACTACTTTTTGAGAAAGCAATTTTTTTCTTGAGAAAGGCGAACAATGATAAACTACTCCATCACTCAAATTAAAAGAAATCTACATGCAACAGAGTGCAACCGAAAAAACATGATAATAAAAAAATCACCTTTACTGGAACTGAGGGGGAAAACATCGATAAGTTCAACGACAAAGAAATCTCAAAAGTCAAGGCATGCCCATCAATTCTCAGTTTGGACGTAAAACTTACGGTTTCTTTCCAAATTGCCTGACCCATTCACCATTCTCATAGAATGGGATTTCATATTCTCCGCTTGTTAGCTCCATGGTATCTTCAATATCCTTCTCCAGCCATTCTCTGTCTTCTGGGGACATGAAGTCTCTCTTTATTATCTTGCCTTCGGCTCTCATCTTGGCTTCAAGCCTGCGAAACAATTAAACTACTTAATAAACTCTTAGAACATTAAAGCAAACAATATTCTTATGAGCAACATTTTGGAACGTAAACATACTTGGACCCTGGAACGGGTTCAATGTGAGGTATCTCAACCTCAACAACTCCATGACCTTCCATGTTGTTTTGAAGCCATTCGCCTTCATACCTGCGAGAAGCAAACAGAAATAATGAGTGATGCTGACGCGAAGTTAAGGAAATACTAACAAACAACGTGATATAAATTAGGCATAATTGTAGAGCGACAACTAGTAAAAAATAAAAATAATACCGACAAACCTGACCAGCCCTTGCTCAGCAACATAAACACCTTTTCCATGTGCCAAGTCATCCCAAACAGTGCCTTCATACCTTCAAATGCAAAGGCCATCAGTTTTACGGATGACATCATCTAAGAACAAGAAGAAAAAGGTAGAAAAGCTAAACCATGACCAAGTGACAGCAAGTAATTGTCACATCAGCGTCGTTTAATGTTAATATAGCTTACACACTGGAGTCTGGAGTAGTTAGACATAAGTCTAACATTCATTTGATAAGGGATCCCGAGTTGGGGAGGCGGGAACCTAACAAGGACATTTTATTCCCTAACTGAAAAAGTGAAGCTGCAATTATGGCCATCAATAGAATCTAGTTTATATGAAATGCCCAAACGACTTGGCAAACATTTCCAAACGAAAACTAGAAAATGTCAACCGCGTAAGAGGCATGAAAACACAGAGTACAGGCAAAACCATGCAAAGCTGCAGATTTGTTACTCATGTCAATTATTGAACTATTATATAATAATTGGAAATCAACTACTTCGATATGAGAAGTGCTTTACCAGTTTAAGGTACTTCTTACAGGGTAGCCATTAGAAAATGTTTCGGTTCAATCAAAAGTATCATTTACTTCTGTTAATTAGAAACCAAGTTCCCATATTCCAGTTGTTCATCAAGGAGCAATGGGCCTCATTGTGAAGATCTATTCCAGTTTAAGCCATATTCCAATGCTTCACATCTGTAAACAACCTTTAACAGAGTACTTCATGAAAACAAAACACAACCTTTAACAGAGTACTTCATGAAAACAAAACACAACCTTTAACTGAGTTTCTCATGTGGAGTTAACAGTCAGTTATATCTATAGCATCTCTAGTGTTCTACAGTAGGAGAAAACGAGAGGTATAATTGCCAGAGCTTAGGACAACTCTTGCTTGTTAAATCTTTGTTCACTCAAAAGTTTATGCCAAATTGCTGAGTAAAGGTCTACTACCCTTAATTTCAATCTATTAGCACTCTGAGAGCTACTGTTCCAATTACATACTCAGATTTCTTGTGCATTTCTGAATATTATATAAGGAAACATAGAAACATGTAGATCTCCTTCCATAATCCATGCGTTCATTGATCTAATTACATATTCCAACGAATATACACATGCCACCTTTTACTGTTTTTGGCCACCCCTAAATTGAACCATCTCTGGTGAGCCTTGAGGATTATGCAGCAAGTGCAATACATCTTCAATACCCGCAAATTTGAGCTTGAACATGACAGCATTAGATAGAAAGTATAGTAACATTTACAATATCATCAGAAAACTGAAATTTTTACATATTAGGACTAGTACTCAGGTTTCTTTAAAAGATAATTATCTATTAAAGATTTGACGAAGTAAAAATGCCAATTCATCCAACAACTACCTCTATTTACTACAACTAGATGAAAAATCTCTTCCATCTCATTTTGGACATCCAATTTCTCTATTCAAGATTTACTTCAAGATGATTAACTAGGCACTGCATTAAAGTAAGGAAATCACTAAATCTAAATATATAGGAAATGCTAGCAATGTCAATAAAGTTTGACACTTGAGAAGGGACTGCCGTGTGGCGAAGAGATCATGGGTGCAAGGCGCGGAAACAGCCTCTTGCATAAATGCAAGGTAAGGCTACATACATAAGACTCAATGTGGTCCGGCACTTCCACAGCATAGCATAAGCTTAGTGCGTCGAGACTTGAAAAATCATAGCACGCAACTAATTTTAGCTTGGGAAAAGAACTCCTCCACATTAGCACAGAGAATCAATGACACACTCCACTATTCAACTCCAATGCCTATGAATATTAGAAGTAACTGAGTAACTCTAGCAGCTCAAACCATATAGCCAATCATATCTATATTCAAAGTTCACTTTTCTTTCTTTTTTAAATGACAGTGGTGTAACCGGCAGCTTGGGCACATCAACTACTCCACGCCAGTCACCTGCTACCTCACACCATTCACCTTTTTTGGGGGAAAACATTCTTTACCTCAATTGTAAAGCAAACACACACCCATATACCCACTATTCAGGTCCAATGCCTATGAAAATGAAAACGAACACTATGAAAATGAAAACTAACACTAGCAGCTAAAACCATATACTTTCACATTCAAAGTTAAAAAACAAAAACAATCTTTACCTCAATTATAAAGAAAATAAAAACCCATTTAGCAAAATCTCTCCAAAAAGAAAAATAAAAAAAAGTTAGCAAAAAAGAGACTCACGAGCTACCATCAGCAAAAATGTAGCTAACCCACTTCAAGAACTCTTCAATCCTATCAAGCTCTTCAATCACTGATTTCGGGTTCGAAATATCATAGTTATTATCCGGCACCACAGGGAACGGTTTCCTATAAGGAACATAAAATGGGGCAATAGGCGGGTCCCGGCCCGCTCTAATTTCTTCACTAATAATATCCTCTTCTTCTTCATCAACCCAATTCGGGTCCCAACCGGGTTTGGTCATTTCAATCGGAGCATCCCCCCAAAGCTCCTTTAAATCCTCTTCCCTCCAATTTTCAGAGTCGTACGGAAAGTCAAACAAGTCCTCGTGATAAGTGTAGTCTTCTGCTTCCTCTTCTAGCTCACGCTTTCTGCGTTTGGAGTTAAGGACTCGCATGAAACGCTTCACGTTTGCTTCGGGTGTGTTGTTTTCTTCATCGTCTGTGTCGGGTTCGCCTCCTGCCCGGGTGTATGGTTGGAGCCCCGTTTCGGATTCCGAGTCCGAGTCTGAGGAAGTGGGTTCTTCGAGTTCTTCCTCTTCTTCTTCTTCTTCTTCTTCGTTCTCATCTTCTGGATTGGGCGAACTGTTTGAGTTGGTTTCGTTTGGGTCCGCCATTGGAGAGTGTTGTTTGTAGGAGTAAAGAGTAAGAGAGTGGGGAGTAGGAGAAGAGGATGAAGAAGATAAGGTGTGTGAAAGTTTGCTTGTTTATATAGGGGAACAACGATGTGACCGATGTGCAGCAAAGAATGGTTGTACGTGTTGTTTTAAGTGCTGTACATAGTGAAGTGAGGGCGATTTTCTCAGTATGGCTGCAGGCCGCTTCTCCTTGATTTTGTATTTACGGGAGTCTTTATCTACACTTTTTACTGTAATTTTGACTAATATTTTAAAATATACTTTATAATCGTATTGACATAAGAAAACTATCATTTATAGTATTTTTTACATAGCTTGTGAATATCTAAATTTTAAATTTAAAATATTAAGTTGATCTAATTTATTTAGCTTTAAAAATTAGTTAAATTAACTCTCAAGAAATAAAAAGTATCACATAAATTATAACGGAGAGAGTAGTAATAGTTAGTACTCATAATATGTAGTAGGGTGATAATATTGATATCCAATGCTTTAGGAAGTAAAAATAGTTTAATTGTTACCAAACGAAAAATAAAAAAAGCACATTTGTGTTAAAGTTAAGTTATGTATTTGTAGTTAGCATTGTATATGGGTGAAATCGAGCCCGTTGGATATCTCGGTTCTCAATGGAGTAAACGGAGCGAGACATGAAAGTAAGAAACCGAAATCGGGGCAAGGAGCCCCTCGAGTCAGAGTCCGGGCAAAACACCTGCCCTCGGAATAATCGGGGCCACATCCTCCAGGTCTAATTCAACCCTAAAACTTCGGAGAGCATTACTAGATAATCGAGCACGACTAGCAAAGGGCCGTGATATTCGCACCTAGCCGGATGTCACTGCGTGAATCTCGGCATGTATCGGCAGAAAATCTGTGATTAGCAAAACGAAAGATTTTTACCTTTTATAGAATTGTACTTAGGGTAAAATTCACTTACTATATAAAGGAGAGTCTCATTATTCATTAGGAATTGTAACACGTATATCAAGGCAATATATTATTATTTTCTCTGTTATTCAAAGTTCTTACTTTTGTTCATCAGTTCTTCATTGTTGTGAGCCCAAGATCGAAGGCAGACATTGCATTAAGCTATTGATCACCCCCTTAATTGGTTTGACAATTTATTACATCCTTTATCTATTAATCTAACGCTTTTTATCATTTGTATTGAATTAATCCGCATATCCTTAAAACCACATATAAATTCAATTGGTATCCATTTTTTTTTAGGGTAAATAGTTTGGCACCCACCGTGGGGCTAAGGATAATAGTGGCAATTTGATACAAATTTTTATAACACACTCTATTTTACACTTATTCTTTGAGCTTTTAATTTTAGGTCAAATTAAAAATGTCAAACTCCCAATTTGCCCATTTGAACGTTGATGTTGAGTCCGGCCACCATGGAGAGAACAACAACATGGTGCCCAACAACGAAGTGCCCCCTGTTGACACCCCCAACGGAGTCCCAGACGTAGATCCGATCGATGCTAACTCACTCGTGGCTATCGAAGCAAACTTGCCTACTGACACCGAAAACAACATTCGCTATGGAGCATGGTCGATAGCCCGAAGTACACACGACGGCGAAGGTGATGGGATTAACTTGGGGGTGATCTTCGAAATGTTACAGACTTAACATGCAGCGATAGCCTAGTTGCAGAACCAAAGTCGCGCCTCCAACAGAGATGATCCCGAACCATCCGGGAAAATGCTCGCAGAAATGGACCGACCATAGAAAGGTCGGGTGAAGCAGAACCCGGAACCAACCCCGGGATAATAAAAATGCTTGAGGAACTGACAAAACAAGTGGAATCAGGAGAAAAGAAAATCGAAGCCAACGACAAAAAAGTGGAGACCTACAACTCCACGGTCGATCAAATCCCAAGAGCACCACCGAAACTGAAGGGCCTGGATTCCAAGAAATTTGTCCAAAAGCCTTTCCCTCCGAGCGCAGCTCTGAAGCCGATCCCAAAGAAGTTTTTTATGCCCTAAAATCTGAAGTACAATGGAATAACTTATCCAAATGAACATGTGACCTCCTACACGTGCGTCGTCAAGGGGAACGACTTCTAAGATGACGAAATCGAATCCATTCTGCTGAAAAGTTCAGAGAGACCTTGTCAAAGGGAGCTATGATATGGTATCACAACTTACTCCCAAATTCTATTGACTCATTTGCTATGCTTATAGATGCCTTTGTGAAAGCGAGACCAAAAAGTCAGGCCTTTCAAAGTAAAGCAATGAGATAACGAGATGCTCAGGGAATTCATGTTGAGGTTTCAAATAAAACGGATGGATCTGCCTCCGGTCGCGGACGATTGGGCCGTTTAGGCATTCACCCAAGGACTCAACCCCCAAAGCACATTGGCTTCACAATAGCTGGAACAAAAATTGTTAGAATACCCGGCAGTAACTTGGGCCAACGTCCATAATAGGTACCAAAAATCAGGGTCGAAGACGATCAGCTCGAGACCCCTTCCGGGTCCGTTTATCCTGTCAGAACTAGTGATAGATCCAAAAGAGCCATCGATCATGAACCAAGATCGAACAGAGATTGGTATCAACCATACAATGAAGATGGAAGGGGTAATGGGTCCGGGCGCAACCCTTTGGGGAGTGAAAGAAGAAGCGATCAAGGTAATAATAACCGGGGACTCATGAGCAAAAACGATTTCGACTGACCCATCGGGTCTAGGGAGGCACCAAGGTTATCAGAGTACAACTTCAATGTCGATGTTGTCGACATCGTATCAGTCATCGGACGTATCAAAGATACTAAGTGGCCTCGACCATTGCAATCTGATCCTGCCCAAAGGGACCCCAACCTAATGTGTAAGTGTCATGGTACTCACGGCCACAAAACTGAAGATTGCCAACAACTGAGAGAAGAAGTAGCCCGGTTATTCAATAATGGATACCTCCGAGAATTTTTGAGTGATCGAGCCAAAAATCACTTCAGGAATAGGGACTCCAACAAGCAGATCGAGCAAGAGGAACCTCAGCACGTCATTAACATGATCATTGGTGGACAGATGCGGACCCACATGGAGTCAAGAGGGTTCATATAAACCCCATTCGTCGAAAAATAATATTGTGTATATAGGTATATTTTTTCTATCTTCGAAAAAGTAATGATATAAAGTTATTTTGAACCCACTTCAAACAAGTAAATCGCCTAGCCTGCTGGTAAAGAGGGTTCAAATTTCCACATGGTCCTGAGTTCGAAACCAGTTAGTCATATATGCCCTCTATTTTTGGGTTTTTTAATATAGGTCTATTTTCCCATAAAAATGACGTCGGTTATGTTTTTTTTAAAATATCCCCCAATTCCCCAAATCAGAAAACGATCAGAATCTGTAATCCCAAGCCNCTCTCTCTCTCTCTCTCTCTCTCTCTCTCTCTCTCTCTCTCTCTCTCTCTCTCTCTCTCTCTCTCTCTCTCTCTTAATTTCAAAGAGAATCGCTTCCATAGTCACCACTCACCTCTTCCGTTAGCCCCTGCCGAGAAGGTCATCTCCCTGAAAGACAAAGGGCTTCATCTTGGTATCTAACTAAAAGTTCAGGTGATCAATAAGAACTAATTCTAGTTTTCTAATTTCTAGTATTTATTCCTCTTTTGTATAAAGATTTAATCCAAATAAATTTCCTTCACCTCTATGTGCTTTCTTCTCTTTGTTGTAGTTCAATTTCAAAGAACATTGCTTCATGGTCGTCTCCTCCATTAGCCATAAGCCATTGCCGCTTCTCGTTGGGTCGCCTCTCTCCGTCTCTCGCCGTCAGCCTATCAATTATCACTATCAGGTTTCTCAGTTGCTTATATTGCAAATTTTTGTAATTTATGCTTTGGAAAAAAATTCAGATTGTTTTAATGAGTTTTGACTGAGAAACTCAATTTCAATTTGAGATATACCATGTTAAATATTTTTTAAATATAATTTTTAATCTTAATGGAAAATGGGGAAAGGTGAAAAATTGAGAGTAATAAACTTGCTTATATTGAGAAGTTAAGCACTTTTTCTCTTTAGTTATGGAAAATCTCAAACTGTTGTTGTTGGTTTTGAGTGAGAAATCGTTTTTCAGTTTGAATATACGTATACGTACACATGATTTTTTTGGGTGTGTGTGTACTTTTGATATGGAATGGAAATCAGTTATGTTTCCTTGATGCAGTCAAGGACATTTTCCTTGGCTCGTTGTTGAATCAACATATTTCCCTTTATAAAATAATATTTAGCATGCAATAGTATTTTCTAGGACTGAAGTTCCAAAATCTAGGAAGATCACCTTTGTTGTTATCCATGAATGAAAGTTTCATTGCAATAGTTCTGTAATCTGATGAGTGATCGTTACTTGGGTTGTCTTCGGCCAAATTAATTCTTCTAGTTTAAATTTAAGGTTAAACATATACAAAATTATTCTTCTAATTCTAATTCTAATTTGGTAATCCAGTTTGTATTACAATGAAGAGATTTTACCCTCCAGTATCTTCCAAGTTGCCACAACCAAGTTCTTCCTCTCCAATCGCTACTCCCGTGGAACAAAATTTAAACCAATTAGAAGAGCAACCTCAATCCTCTAAAAGATAAAGATAAGGAATAGATCTTGATTCTTTACTGACTGATCCAAAGGAGAGAATACCCATTAGACATTATCATCCAAATTAGCGGGATGAGATTAGAAGAGAATATCTCTAAAGAGGTCCTTACCAACCCCGATATCATAAGTTTCCTCAAAAAGATTTTTCGGGCTTAAAGCGCCGTTTCAATCCTAAATGATTTGATGAATATCGTAATTGATTGGAGTACAGTGTGATAGAAGATGCAGCTTATTGTTTGTGTTGTTACTTATTTCAAGATGAAGACATTCATCAAGGTGGAGGCGATGTATTTTCAAGTTTAGGATTTAAGAGTTGGCCCAAAAAAAAAAGAGATTCGATATTCATGTTGGTAAGTCGAGCAGTATTCATAATCATGCAAAAGAGAAATGTGAAGATCTATTCAAACAAAAACAGTCAATTCAAACTTCATTTGATAGGCAATCCAGTCAAACCAAGCTCGAATACAAAATTCGCTTGAAGGCTTCAATTGAGGTTGTGAGACTCCTATTGAATCAAGGATTGTCATTCCGTAGACACCATGAAGATGAATCATCATTAAACAAGGGTAACCTTCTTGAGATTCTTTCATGGTATGCAGAGAGGTGCGATAAAATCTGTGATCTTGTGTTGAAAAAGGCTCCAAAGAATGATCAGTTGACCTCTATAAACTTCAAAAAGACATTATCATTGCATGTAAAATTGAAACAGTTAAAGCAATTATGGACGATCTAAATGGAGACTTTTTTGCATTGCTAGTTGATGAATCACGTGATTTATCATGCAAAGAGCAATTAGCTATTGTCTTGCGATATGTTAATAGATGTGGATCTGTGGTGGAGCATTTTATTGGGATCGTTCATGTTCGTAATACTAGTGCTTTATGTTTAAAGGAAGCAATTGTTGATTACCTTGCTCAACATTCTTTGAGTTTATCTTATGTGTGTGGACAATGCTATGATGGAGCAAGAAACATGCAAGGGGATTTATGTGGCCTCAAAACTTTGATTCAACAAGAAAGTAAATCTGCTTATTCCATTCATTATTTTGCACAACAACTTCAATTAACTCTTGTTGCGGTATCCAAAAAGTGTCTTGAAGTGGGAGAACTTGTATTGTTGGTTTCTAATGTATTGAATATAGTGGGAGGTTCTTTTAAACGTATGGATGATCTTCGAGAATCTCAAGCAGAAAAAGTTCAAGAGGCATTAGACATGGGTGAACTTGAAACTGGTAGGGGTTTGAATCAAGAACTTGGTCTTGCCAGAGCTGCCGATACTCGTTGGGGTTCTCATTACAAATCTTTTAAGAACTTTATTTCTATGTTTGGCTCAATTATTGATGTTATTGATACTATCGTTGTTGATGCCCGAACTTTAGAAGAAAGAGCTAAGGCAAAGGGATATCTTAGCACTTGTCAAACATTTGAGGTTGCTTTCATATTGCACCTAATGAGAGGTGTTTTGGGAATCACAAATGAGCTTAATACATTTTTACAAAAAAAGGAGCAAGATATTGCAAATACTATTCTACTTGTTGAAGTGACAAAGAAATGGTTGCAAAAGCTAAGAGAAGAAGAATGTGATTCATTTATTGATAAGGTGTTTGCATTTTGTGTCAAGTATAATATTTTGATACCAAACTTTGTTGACTTCTATGTTAACTCCGGAAGATTTCGACGTAAAGTTATTGATTATACTATTTTACATCACTATCGTGTTGATATCTTTTTTACGATTATTGATTGGCAAGTTCAAGAAATCAATGATCGTTTTAATGAGGTGACAACGAACTTGCTTCTTGGAGTAACTTGCTTAAATCCAATTGATTCATTTTCCGGTTTTGACATAAAAAAGATATTGATGATGGCTGAATTGTATCCTGATGATTTTGATGAGAATATAATGGTTACGCTCAAGAATCAACTTGAAACTTATATTGTTGATGTTACTGATGTTGATGAAAGGTTCTCAAATCTACAAGGACCTGTTGATCTTTCTGAAACACTAGTTAAGACAAAGAAGCATGTGAATTATCCATTTGTGTTTCGCCTTGTGAAATTTGCTTTGCTTCTACCAATTGTCACTGCTACAGTTGAAAGAACTTTCTCAGCGATGAAGTTGATCAAGAGTGAATTGCGAAACCGAATAAATGACGAATTCATGAGCGGTTGCTTGGTACCTTATGCAAAAAGAAAAATATTTAATACCATTTCTGATGAGACTATTATGAATACGTTTCAGGAAATGAAAACTCGTAGAGGATAGTTGTAATAATATATTTTATTAATATATAGTTTTTGTTGACCTCTTTGTATATTTGTTTCTTTGTATTTTGAACCCGCTTGATAAAAATCCTGGGTCCGCCACTGTCGGTGGAGTTGACGTCCCCCAAGGCCCGATGTTAAAGCGCACTAAGATGTCTATTACAAGGGAAAATCGGACTCGAGATTATGTACCGGAGGGAACCATATCTTTCAACAACGAGGACGCTGAAGGCATCGTGCAACCACATAATGATGCGTTGGTAATATATGTACTCATAAATAAATCTCGAGTTAGGCGTGTGTTAATCGATCCAGGTAGCTGATAAGTAGGGATTTTGACTACTTATTTGCATATTTTTACTTTAGTTTTAGCTCAAAAATACTTAAAGGTATTCCCAAAAACTGATAAAATGTGCTTACTTGCAAGAGCATTGTAAAAAGAGCCAAAACGATGAAATTCAACTCAAGAAGGAGTATTTTTGGACAAGGACTAAAACCAAGAAAAAAGAGCAAAGTGCGGACCGCACAATATTGAGTGCAACCGCAGACTATGAAGGAACTCTGACAGAATGCCTTTGCAAAGTGCGGACCACATAATTATTGTGTGGCCGTAGAATATGAAGTTCAGAGAGATGGAGTTCTGAGTCCATGAAGAAGTGAGGACCGCACTATTATTGTGCGACCGCATAATTCAAGAGTGCGGGTGCACTCAAAAATGTGCGGTCCGCAGAAGTCCCTTCTGTCATGCTCAAATTCAAGAGTGTGGTCGTACTCAAAAATTTACGGTCCGAAGAATCTGAAGACGTGCGGCCGCAACCCAGAATTGTCCGGCCGCAGAAGTTCATCCTGTCAAGCCCAGCTTCAACCAGGTGCTTTGGCGTACGACATGTACGTGACCAGTTCCCTTTTCCTCCACATCTATAGCATATATTTTCTGGCTTTGCTGCTTGCACCGCTTCATGCTTTTGCTCCTTCCTTTTCCACTACTGGTGGTGAGGCGGGTTCTTTGGTGTATTATTATTACCATAATTATAGTTCCTCCCCGACCACGGCCATGACCATGACTGGGGCCACGTCCTCTTCCACGCTTAGCTTGGTGGAAGTTCGTCTCATTCACTTCAAGGAATGGATAAGAACCAGTAGGTCAACTTTCATGGTTTTTCATTAATAGCCCATTATGTTGCTCGGCTACAAGAAGATGTGAGATAAGTTCAGAATNGGCTACAAACTCAAGTTTAGAAAGATTTGACATTATTTAGAAAAAGAAAGTTCGTACCTCTGATACTTTCAAAGTATTTTCTCGAGATGGCAGAGTCTCGTGCTGATAACGTGTTATAAAATAAAGACCGTAAAGTAAAGACAAGTATAGAGAGAAACTGATATATTATTCAAACTTCAAACTTCTGTACATAATGAACTGAATTCTCCTCTATTTATAGAAGAAAAGAAGCTGCTACTGCAAGCTGCTGTGTAAGCTGCTTGTAAACTGCTGCTGTGTAAGCTGCATGTAAGCTGCTGCTCTAAACTGTTGTGCCAGATATAGATAATCTTCTATCATGGGTAATATTTATCCATAGCGGAGTACCGAAAGTATAAGCTTCTTCAGGAGGCTTATTTCCAATAGAGTACTAAATAGATAAACATATTTATGGCGGAGTCTCATATGGATAAACTTCTTCAGGAAGCTTATTTACAACGGAGTACTAAATGAATATCCATAATATAATATATTCATAACAAAATCAAAATATACCCATCTGATAGTCACATACATATAAAATATAGTTAAGAGGAAAAATAAATAAATTGAAGGGTTCCTAATAAACCAACATGAACTGAATTTTTCTATTTTGTTGAAATAAATATTGTTGCGTCAACAAAGAGCTGACATTGTACAAAAATAAAAATAACTAATTCGAACTACAAGATAAAGAATATAAAATTCAAGCAAATTCAATTCAAAAAATCATATCTCATCAATTCAACTCAAATGACAAATTTGGTTAAGTGTTTAGTTGTGAGTAAAACATTTTTTTTTTTTTTTAAATTTTCAATTTTAAATTCGAATTAAATTTTGTTGCCCCATGAGCCTGCTCCGGCCCACCCTTAGTCGAGTCTCAAGGGCCGATGGGGCTCGACGGATTAACTTGGATCAGACATATAAGCCTCACTTTAAATAAATGTTCAAGATTTTTCTCGAGAGAAAAGAATGGTAGTATGTCAAACTTTCATACGGATTCGGTACTCGAATCACAAAGAACTATCAGGAGAGAAGAATCAAGGGAACAAACAGAATTATACTCATAATTGACTAAATTAATAAAATTATTTCTTTGAAAAAAGGTGAAATAATCCAAAAAAAAAAAAAGAAATACGAATGGATGGAAAGAAGGTGACATGCTTTCCTAGGTTATCTGGAGAGAATTCATAAGGCCAATGGCAAATCTGGTAAATGGTCAAACAAGTCTGACCTATAGCTTCTGCACTCTTCAACTCTAACCTTATTATTTCTCAATTTTGAACTTTTGTATTGCAGATTTGTAACCACGTAATGTCTAATGATTAGTCATGTGACTCTGATTTTTGACTTTTACTTTTCTTTTTTTCTTTGAGGTACGTGATATATTAATTATTAGTAACACTAAATGTTGGCGAACCTTGTACTTATACTAGTTTCGGAGAAAAAGTTATATTACCTTCTATAAGTTTGCACTTCTTGTTGTTAAGTAAATCGCGTGGAATTTGCTGTAATTTTATAGGAAAAAATTCTACTTTTTCTTGATTTTTACCCCTCTTTGAATAGTTTGATACATTCTAGATACTTATAGTTGTCAAAGGTGGTGGAGGTTGTTAGCTTAGTCTAAATTGTTGAACGTAGCCTAATTGAGCTTTGATAATAATAATAATAAAAGGAGTGCATTTGAAACGGACTCACAATGAAAGTGGGGGTTAATGTAGCATAACTTTCCATCTTTCTCGATTATGTGATGCAACTTATTTCATTAGGATATACTATAGATTAAGAAAACTTTCCTCTTCATCATTTTTTGGGGGATGGGGTGTATTTGTGAATAGGGTGGAAGAAGGGATGGGGGCTGAATGAAATTCGAACTTTGTTTGGTGCATAATAAAATTGCAACAATTATACTAGAATAACTCTAATATCTATAAGAGTTGAGTAATAACTAGTAGTACTTTTTTGGTTTTCATTTGCTTTTTTTTTTTTTCCTGGTCTAGGGGAAAAAGAGGAAATTGTGATTACATAAGCCAATGCTTTGTCCCACTGGCCAATAGAAGTTGAATGACTTATAGCCTTTTTGGCCAATTTTTTCCAATTCTAGAAGCACTTAAAAAGTATTTTTTTTTTTCAAAGTTGAAATGTTTGGTCAAGCTTTTGGAAGAAAAAAAATGATTTTGAGGAGAATCAGAAACAATTTTGGAAAAGTAGAAAAAAATAGTTTTTCTCCAAAAACACTTTTTTTGAAAAGTACTTTTGAAAAAAATACACTTAAAAAGTTTTTAAAAATTTGGTCAAATAATAATTGTTGCTCAGAAGACAACTAATATCTAGGAGTCTTATTTTAAATAAAAATAAAAAGAAAGAAAGTAACAATGTAAAAGGAGTAAGGTCTAAGGGTCATTCGTTCTTCATTCTTTGCGTAATTTCTAAACAATAGCCTACTAATTCAAATTAAGAGCCATAAATATAAAGAAATTTTATTTAAGTTTTTAATATCTATTTTTTAATGGCAAGAATCTTTCATAAAGGATGATGGCGTTTTGGTCGGTTTAAATTGGATTTACCTTTACAATGATAGTTACTAGAAAGTAATGTAAAATATTCGGCCAAGAACTCAACCATAAGTATATTATGGGAGACAAGTTTTGCAGGTAAGCATACCATAGGTTATCACTTCTAGCTAGACAGTAATAAAAAAATTACAAATTAGTTACGATATTAAAGAAGAAGTAGAAATTCCTTTTCCAAATAAAGCAAAAATATATTTGTATAACTGATTATACTTACAGCAAGTAGAAGAAAAAAAATTATGTTGGTAATGGGCGATGGCCTTGGTGGCACAGAAACAAGAAAGTGCCATTGATTTGACGTTACTTTTAAAAAGCTTAACGGAGATGTAAAAATATTAAGCTAGTGTTTGGATATATATTTGATTGAAAGTTGAAAAAAGAGTTTTTGAAATTATGTTAGAAAATAATTTTTGAATGTTGAAGTTTGTTTGGACATGCATTTTATTTGAAGATAAGTTAAAGTTTTGTGGGTGGAAGAATAAAATTCACTCCCAAACAGCCGTAAATCAGTTTTTGGGAACTTGAATTTTTTTGAATCCCCCCTCCCAAAACATAATCATATTTCATAAACAAACAATGTTTTCAATTTTTTTTTGAAAAAATGAAGCAAAAATCTATGGTCAAAAGGGAGCTAAGTATTTTGGTAGAATATTATTGTATTTAATGTATATGTCAAAACTAGTTAACTATAATTAATTACTAATAATTTTAGTTAAATAAAGTGACATGTGTTGATTGTTTAATGGCCGAGTGTAAACACTCGGTGCGGATAAATTTTTGCCTTTTTTAAGGAGCTTTGATGTTACTTTTCCCCTTTTCTTTGAAAATTTGGGGTGGTTCTTAGTCACAAACTTTCAATGATAGAAAAGCACAGTCACTCCCAAAGGTTGTGACGAGCTGGTAAGTAACTTTTCATCCTTAATCAAAAATTTATATTTGAACCCTGAAAATAGAGTCGCTTTTATTAGGGAAGATTTTATACTCAAAATAGGATTTCCATGCGTCTCAAAGCGTGTATACGAACACAAAATACCGAACGAAAAATAATTAAATAAATAAATAAATAAATAAAACAGAATAAACTGTAGTGGTGGCTGGGTGTGCGTTGGACAAACGGAAAAAGCTTAGTTTCATGCGACAAAGAGAAAGAAGTAGGCAAAAAGATCAGTCAAAGGAAAGCTAATAAAGGGGGTAATGATATTGCTTTCACAGTGTTAAACTGATTCTTTTCTTCCTTTGCCTCCGTTTGCCACTACGTACCCACACTCACTTTTCTATCTTCTCATGTGTCTTGCAGTAATGCTGTCTATTTTCTAAATCATTTGTCAAACAGATTTTGCTTAAATGGTTTAAAAAGGAGTCACAAGTTCCGTTGTTACTGGACCAATTTGTTTTTTTTTTGGTTATTGTTGTTAATGGAGAATTCGCGCCCGGCCACTATCTTTTGGGTGCGTATAATGTAAACTTTGCTTTTGTGTAATAGCCCCCAAACTACACAGGAGGATAAACTGTATTAGGCAACTCGAGCCAAGAAGGTATGCAAATGGGTTTCTAATCCTAGATCTCTCATTTGAAAAGTCCCCTGTTCAACCAACTTGGCCCCGAAATATTCAATTTGTTGATGTTATTACACGAAGTAGCATAAATAACCTTCCATTCATTATTGACGTGTCCCTGGTCATTGCTAGCATATAATTATTGATCTAGTGCCAATCATATACTCTCCACTTGAGAGTATATGATTTATCAGTGACATGGAATGCAAAAAACAATATTTTCAAGAAACAGTTCAAGTCAACATGCCACGATTCAAACTATAGTACGAACCCGAATCCGAGTGGTCTCACAGCTACTCCTTCCATTCATGTTGAGTTTTACTCACTCGATTACAACTATTTGGGGAAAAAAAACATTAGAGTGAGAATCTTCTTTATTCTCATATTAATTATGCGAAAAAGTAAATACCATTATGCAATATGAAATAAGATTGTTTACATCAAATCAATAGATATATAAATAATATGTGAGTATCTATTATATATAATATATTTTGTATATACAATGTCACTTAATCAGGGGCGTATATACTTTATCTCAAGTTGTATCACGTGACACCGCTTCGTCAAACTTTTTAGTAACTATGTATATATAGATCATAAGAACAATAAAAATATTTGTATAAATATAAAAAATAACACTCGCTATTATTATACTAATTTATTTATTTGTTTTCTTTTCAAATATTTATACTACTTACAAAAATTCTTGTGTACGCTAGTATACTTAATTATTATACGTTAATATATCTCATATTCATTTACTGCTACTACTTAACAATAATAAATTAATATAATTTAGTATAAATATCATATCTTTCCGATTATACCATAGTAGTGATTGAGATAATAGAGGCCACAGATTGAACCATCGCCATCTCCCAACTGAAATTACTAATCTTCTATTTGTAATTTGTAATGTCCAGCCAGCACCTTACTTTCGCGCGTGTCAAGTTCATCAGTTGGTTGTTGTTTTATAAAATTAAAATATTAGTTCAGGCTATCTCTTTTTTATAGTGAAAGTATATAACTTGAGAGATATGAAAGCTATTAAAATACAATTTGATGTATGAAGTATTCTATGTTAACACATGTCCAGGGAATGATCGCACCCCAAGAGAGTATGTAATAGACTACCTACATCACACCCATTTGAGATGCGTTCGGAGATGCTATATGAATGCAATATACTTCACGCACTAAACGGACTTTTAAACTAAGAAAATTCGAAACATAAAATATTGTTGTCAAAGAGAAGTCTTTGACTTTGTAAATAACAAACGAGTTAAACAAAATAATATTAAGAACCAAGCGACAAATGAAATTCCAACAAATGCAGTTTTCTTGAATGAATTTCTATAATAATATAATGATTATGACAATAAAGAATAAAAATGGTCATCCACCCATTATAAGATACAAAATTTAATATTCCAGAATTAGCTTAAAGAAGAAGTCTTATTTTTTTGGTGCTAGTGTTTTGGTAGGAAAAAAAGGGGAAGGAAAAGAGAAGAAGGGAACATATATAAATTTAAGAATTAAGATAGTCACTGAAGCACCTCTCCATTTTCAAGTTCTTTTCTCTTAATAATTCAAGAACGTAACAAAATTTCATGTTTGGTGATTTTATTCGCATTTTATTCAAGAGAAATGACTCCTATGTATTATTCGAAATTATTCAACCTATTATCTGTTATGCTTTCGATTCATTTATATCCTTGCACTGGAAAATTGTTTTATATTTACCTTTGCTAGTGAAATTTTAACATAAAATGAGTGGACACCACACAAAATAAATTGAATTTACCTTTTAACTTTTGAGTTAAAATTATTCCAGACGATGCTCCACTAGAAATCAAGAACAAATTTTTTTCCTAATGACAAGATAATATTAAACCAAAATTTAGAATAAAAGAAAGTTGCAATTTCACATAATATAAGAGCAAATCTGACCCTTCATCCTCTAATCTATTCCTTATAAGCATAGAAGACATAAAATAAAAATAAGAGAAAAGAAAAGTGAAAAAATCAACGAGTAGTACTAGTAGAAGTACATGCGTTTTCTTGTTTCTATAACTTCTCTCTCTCTTCGATTTTTACTCTTTTTCTATGCCCTTTTCATTACAAAACTAGAAAGCTACCTCTGTAACTTTCGATTTTGATCGGTGCAAAAACAAGAACCAAAAAGGAGGAGGAAAATGGATTCACATCAATTGTTGCCTTCTAATCAGGTACGCTATGTATCAGCAACTTCTTCAACTTCCTCTTCATCTTCACTTTGTACCGAAAAACACCCTACTTGTTCCAAAGCACAGAACTGTCTGTTCAAAATTCTAAGGACAATCTCCACTATCCCACCTGAAAATACCATAAAGCTTCAATCTTTATCGAGTTCCCAACTCAAAGAATCAGAATATGTTGTGAAAACCGAGTTTAATGAATTCCCCATTGACTTGAATGTTGGGTTTTGTGCTTCGCCGGAAAATCAAGAATCTGAGTCTCCTGTTGATGGCTTCACCGCCGCCGGGAGTGAAAATTCCGGTGAGGTTGGGAAATGCTCTGATGGTGAATGTGAAGTTGGGAAAGAAGAGAAATTGTTGAACAGTGACAGTTTTACTGATGGTGGACTTGCCGGTGCTGACGTGGAAATTCTAGAAATTTCTCAGCTTGAGAATATTAATGGGGTTTCTGAAATAGGGAAAGTCGAAGAGGAAAAGGGGTTCATGGGTTTGCTCATTGAAGCAGCAAGATTGATATTTGGTGAATTCAAAGACGAGGATTCTGATTTTGAACCGGAGCCAGAGAAGAAAATCAGAACAAAGCAACTGAAACGGAGAAATAAGTGCTGGGGAATGGAATACGTGGAGGAGACGGCGGACGGAAAATGTTCGTCGCCGGTGGTTAGATCGAAAAGGGGGAGGATTCAAATGTTGCCCTGCAAATATAGAGACTCTATTATTGAGCCATTGACGCGATTTTCAAGAAATCGGTCGAGCATTGTAGCCAATAGACGGCCAGGATTGCTTAGGGGAACATCCGATAAAATTGGAACGATACATAGATGAATTCAGTTGGAGGATGAATTTGGTTCACTAGAAGGAGGTGGAAAACTTAAGATGAATGTTTCTAAAAGATGATAGTTATGGTATAGAGAGCGAGAAAAGAGGAAATTCAGGCGACAAAGATGAGACTATTAACCTTTGGTAAATCTTAAAATTACTTCTGCAATTCATAAGTTTCTTGCATTTTAGCATTTTGATTGATTAAATGTCTAGTGATTACTTTAGCAATAGCAGTACTCCAGTATTACAAGAGGAGAATATGGCTTTCAAATTGGTATGAATCTTATGCTTGATCATGTATTCAAGTTGAGGATCATACCATAGTGAACTAAAATGGGTGATTTTTTTACAAAGCTTACTATTACCAAAGTGTTTTACTAAGTCTGCTTTACGAGTTGCATTATTAACTGAATTTTCTTATGACACCTTAAACCTTAAAGGGTATGATGTGGACAGTCTACCACTAATGCTGTTAATATTTCAAAATTGGGTTTAATAGTTATGTTCATAGGCTAATACAAAATTGTGTCCTTTTAGTTAGGTGTATTTTTTCGGTCGAGATGTGTATTTAATGGAATATTCAAGGTTAGCATAAACTTGAATTTCTTACTAGGCTTGTTTGTTATATTCCCTTGCGAGGAGCAGCCTTTGAACATCTGGAAGGAAAAAAAGTGAAGAACAGTTGAAATTACAAAGAAAGAAGTATACCAACTTATTACTTTACTAAATAAATAGAAAGTCAATAGCGTGAAGCGTGGAGGGGAAACTCGGACGGTATAAGACTTTGACTGGGAAATATAGCTGACAAGGTCTCACAATAAATAGCTCCTCCCTTTTCTTTCTCTGTTCCTTGTATTTCCACAACTATTTGCTAACCGTGTGGGATCTAGGGATTTTAAATGATTGGTCGGCTCAAATTTGGGTGGGTAAACATAGATTATGTCTTGGTTAGATCAACTATTATTGAAATCATAATTAAATATATAAAAGTGTACTCTCTAATAGTTTAAACTTTTAGATTAGATGGTTACACATTTCAACATGGTATCAGATCGGACAGAAGTTCTTGGTTCGAGTCTCACCGCCATTAAATATTAAAAATAATTTTCACGTCCTTGACTCGTAAAAAAGAATCAAGCCCACACCCATACGTGAAGGGGTATATTGAATACATAATTAAATATATAGAAATATGTTTTCTTTAACCTTTTTAGACGAGACTGCGCACACTTTACCATTATTATGGGGAAGTCATAATTTGAATTGCCCAACAAAGTCACAAGTCAAACATAGTTTTTTTTATGCTTGTATGAGTCAGGGAAAAGTATAAAGTTAAAACCATTTTGACCCATCTTTAACTTTTAGCTACACTAATTGACCCCTCTGTCTCCTAAGTTGCTTGATAATTTAAATGAATCAGTGCATGATTAAAAAGTTAACTCCATTGGCGAAGAATACTGGGTTCCACTTGGCCGAATAAACTCTAGACTGCTACAGATATTGTTGGTAAATGAAGGCGACAAGAATGTTTGATATCATGAGATTTGTAGAGGTCAGAGGCTTCATACTATTGTTTCTGTTACCCACATGTAGCCATAGACGAGCTAATTTTCAATTGATGTTTGGCCAAGCACAAATATAATTGTTTTATTCTTCAATATAAATATAATTTTTTTAAAAAGAAAAAAATAGTTTATTACTATTCAAAATCGCACAACTTTACCCTAAATTAGATTGTTGGTCTAATATTACTCCTATCATTAAGAAAATATCTTATTTTAGCCCTTGAATGGGAGCGCCAACTCGAGGGTTATCGAACAACTCAGTGTGTCCCTTTAAAAAATAATAGTAGTGGCCAACATTGTTCTATTGAAATTTGAATCATAATCTCTCATGGTGTTCATCTCACTTCATTCACCGCTTGGCCAGTGGCACATCCTTAAATGCTAATATAATTATTTGTTCCTAAAATAAAAATAAGAAAATACATATTCTCTATAAATTCTTTCAATACCAAATCCAGACATTCATCTCAAAATATAAAAAGGTAGGTGTGTCTATCTTTCAAGATGAACTAGGGAGGAGATGCTGCTACTCCCTCAACTCAATGTACTCTTTTGGAGATGAATAACATGCGATGTTTGTTTTGAAAAAAAAAAAAATCAAGAAAAAAACAGAACAAAGAAAAAAACAAAACTAAAACATTTTTTCTATCCAAACGGCAATGGCTCCATAGTTTTTAAGAGGCAACCTTGATACCTTAGAGTTACTCTTAGTTTAACTACAATCAAGAGATTGCGCTTACCTTCTCTTCCCCTTTGTTAATATTCCATGTCTTTCTTTTTGTACCACTTGTTCTAATTGACCTTTAACATGTAGTTTATACATACAATTAGTTAGTAGCGAAAATTAGTTCCGTGTTGCTTAAAAGAATCTTATACATCAAAAGGTTCGCAGATATTTTAATTATTAAATTTTAAAAAGTTTTTATAGTCGTTGATGTGATGCCAAAATGCTATACTTTTAGCACATTATTCGCCCTATATTTTGTTGGTCTAATGAGTTATTGTGCGCTATTTGAGCTAAATTGTGTTGTTTTATGTGTAGGAACATCGGAAGGAATCATCAAATGAAAATTGCATAAAAAGAGGACAAAAATACAAAAAAGAACACAAAAGCATCAAGTATCCAAACCGTGCTATAAACCAGGCTTAGCACGGTTTAGACCGTGCTACAGAGCTCGCCCAGCACGGTCAGACCGTGCTGCAGAGCTCGCCCAACACGGTTTATACCGTGCTACAGAGCTCGCCCAGCAAGTTTAGACCGTGCTATAGATCAGGCTTCGCGAGGTCTATAGTACGGTAATTAAAAGTCGCGGGTTAAAAGACCCAAACCCGAAATTGGACCGGGGGATTGACATAAATACTCCCCAAATGAGCTATTCTAAGGTTGGACATAATTTTGGAGAAGAAATAGGCTGCCAAGCACTGTGGAGCAAGAATCAAACGAGTTTTCCCTTCCTTTATCTCTTTACTTTGTAGTTTCATGTCTTCAAACATTATGTTGATTGTTGTTGTATTTATGAGCAGCTAAATTCTCTAATCTAAGGTTTGATGGAACCTATTGGAGGATAATACTTTACTGCGTTTAATATAGATTTGCCTTTAATTTTTATCTACTTGTTCAACTATATTTTCATTGTTATTAATTGAAGAGCTCTCAATTAGCTGTGCCTATTTAGTGTATATATTGCTTGAGAGAGAGTGCACATTTAGGTAGTTGTTGAACAACATCACTCCTAACGTAGTTGAGGGATTGGTACGGAGGGTTTAAAGGCGGGATTAGAGATAACAAAGCCTTGGTGCGATTGTCGTGAGCGGTAAATTAGTGCCAGCTAGCGTAGTTCGAGAGAATACGTCTAGTAAATTGTAGTAGTTACTCGAGAGAGAGCTACGACACTTAAAGTACTCACGATCGGTAGAAAATATTTAGGTGAAGTTATAGGAAATGTAGCGGGAAAGATTCCGACGATAGGGAAAATCATAACCTTAGACTTTTCCAAATTTTGTCTACAATATTTGCCTTGTTAGTTATAAATTACTGCATTTTTAATTACTTTGATCTTAGTTAATAAACTCTGAAAATGTTATATAATATTTCTGAAAGTTGATTACTCGAATTCGTGCAAAACTATTAGTTGTAATTAACACGTTATTTTCCTGTGGGATTCGACTCCGGACTTGTAAATCAGATTATATTTACAATGACCGCTTAGTTTTTTTTATAAGGTATAGTTGGGCGTGATCAAATTTTGGCGCCGTTGCCGGGGAAGCAACAGTGTTACTAATTACAGCTATAAGAATTTGTAGGATTCTTAGTTTAGTCAACTTTATCCATTTTTATTCATTACATTGAAATTCTAACGTTTGTGGTCTTGTGTGTTATAGGTGTATGCCTAGAAACTCTTCAAGAACTGATGAATTATTTAAAGAATTACCGGATCCTGAGAAAACTTTCAAGGCATTAAATCGTGCAAACAAGAAAGACAAACAACATCATCACTCAAGAGAACAGATTGAACCAAACGTGGGTGACGCTTTGGATAATTAAAACAATCGAAACAATGTGAATGACCCGAACAATGAGGGTATGGCACCTCTTGTGCCAGAAGCAGCTTTGTATGATTGGGCACAACCCATTGCTGAAAATTTGGCTACTCTGATGACACAAATGATTATCCTCACCAAGAAGATTGATGAATCAGGCCAAAAGCAGGTACACATAGTTGACACGACTAATGGGGGATTATGTACACTATGTATTAACCAACCATACGTGTGTTCATAGAGTGGTGAAAGTGATAACCAGAACTATCAAGAGAACATGAACTATGTGGGTAACTATGGAGGCCAGAGGCAAGGTTGTCAGAATTGGGGGCAGCAAAATTAGCAATATAGACCAACACATCAACAATACAATAACACCAACAATCCTTGAGCTATGCGACCACTGGGTCAAGTAGTACCTTACCATAGGCAACATGGGTACAGTCAGCATAATCAACAGCTAGCTTATCAACAACCTCAGCAACAATAGTTAGTGAGACAAGATGATGGGTTGTCTGAAATTAAAGGAATGTTGCAGCAACTGATTGGGTCTAATGAAAAAATGCAAGAGAAGGTGGAAGCACATGAGTCAGCGATAAAAGGTATTGAGATTCAATTAGGACAAATATCTATGGCTATGAATAATCGTCCCCAAGGGACTTTACCTGCAGACACACATGTCAATCCGAAGGAGTAGGGCCCGAATCAACTTATGGCGGTGAGCCTGAGAAATGGTAGAGATCTTGATTTAGAGCAAGAAATTGCTCATGAGAGCCGGTCATCTGAAACACTTGTGACAGTGCCAATCGAGTTAGATGAGTCAACTTAGCTAACAGAAGTAAGAGTGCAACCAGCCCATGAGGAAATAAACAAGGAAAAAAGGTTGTGGAGGAGACTGAGAAAGTGCAGGAGAAGGCATTAGAAAAAGTGCCTGAGCAGGATCTAACTCAAGCTACAACAAAGAAGCGACCTCCGGCACCCTTCCAATAGAGGTTGGCCAAATATCAGAAGGATGAACAGTACAAAAAATTCATGGAAATGCTGAAGCAAATTCAGGTAAACATTCCTCTAATTGATGCTCTGAGGGAGATGCCCGGTTATGCAAAAATGATGAAGGACTTGATGTCTCGTAAGTTCGACTTCCTAGACTTGGCAACTATCACGTTGACACAAACTTGTAGTGCTGTTGTGTCAAGACCTATAGCTGAGAAGTTATCTGACCCTGGAAGCTTCATAATTCCATGCACCATAGGTAGTTATGCATTTGCCAAAGCATTGTATGATTTGGGAGCAAATATAAATCTGATACCATTTTCTATATATAAAAAGTTAGGTATTGGAAGAGCAAGGCCCACATCCATGTTACTGCAACTAGCTGACCGAACGGTGAAAAGACCATCATATATACTTGATGATGTACTTGTGCAAGGTGAAAAATTCGTGTTTCCTGCAGATTTTGTCATTCTGGACTGTAAGGTTGATGAGGAGATTCCCATAATTTTGGGAAGACCGTTCTTAGCCACATGGAGAGCTCTGATTGATTGTGAAACGGGGGAGCTGAAAATGAGGCTGAATAATGAAGAAATAATATTTAATGTGCAAATGTCTATACGACGACCCAGTGAGTTTGCAAATTGCTCTTTGTTAGACATGGTGGATGTAATCATAGAGGAAGATGATGAGGCACTTAATGCAAAAGACCCTCTAACAACCTGCCTTATGAACTTAGAAGAAGTAAATGGTGAGGACTTGGCGGAATGGGTGTTGGCTCTTCAAGGGCAAGGGTACTGGAAAAGAGAGCTCGAATTCGAGCCTTTACACTCAGAAGAAAGAAAGACCCCTCCAGCCAAGCCATCGATCGAAGCACCGCCACAATTGAAGCTAAAACCGCTACCATCTCACCTCAGGTATGCTTTCTTGGGACCTAATTCGACTTTACCTATTATTATCTCATCTGGTTTGTTAGATGTGCAGGTAGAACAACTTTTGCAGGTGTTGAAAGAGTGCAAGAATGCAATTGGTTGGACCATTGCAGACATTAAGGGTATCAGCCCGGCCTTCTGTATGCATAAAATTCTATTGGAAGATGGGCACAAACCTTCTAGAGAACATCAAAGAAGGCTGAACCCTAACATGAAGGAAGTTGTAAAGAAGGAAGTGATCAAGTGGTTAGATGCGGGAATTATTTTTCCCATCTCAGATAGCAATTGGGTTAGCCCAGTTCAGTGTGTTCCAAATAAAGGCGGGATGACTGTTGTGCAGAATGAGAACAATGAGTTAATCTCAACAAGAATAGTCACGGGATGACGAATTTGCATGGACTACAGAAGATTGAACAAGGCCGCCTGAAAAGATCATTTCCCCTTGCCATTCATTGATAAGATGCTAGATAGATTGGCAGGGAAGTCCCACTCTTGCTTCTTGGATGGATACTCGGGGTACAATCAAATATCTATCGCCCCGGAGGATAGAGAGAAAATGTCATTCACCTGTCCATATGGAATTTATGCTTTTCAGAGAATGCCATTTTGCCTATGCAGTGCACCCTCCATATTCCAAAGGTGCATGATGGCCATCTTCACAGATATGGTAGAGGACATAATGGAGGTTTTCATGGATGATTTCTCAGTAAGGGCATTGAGGTGGACCGCGCCAAGATTGATGTAATAGAGAAGCTTCCACCACCCACTTCCGTCAAGGCAATAAGAAGTTTCCTTGGTCACGCCGATTTTAACAGGCGGTTCATAAAAGATTTTTCCAAGATTGCTAACCCTTTGTGTAAATTGCTTGAAAAAAATCACCCTTTTGTAGTTTTTGATGACTGCAGGGTAGCTTTCGAAGGATTGAAGAAGAGGCTAGTGTCTGTACCTATCATAGTTGCACCCGACTGGGAGGAACCATTTGAGCTGATGTGTGATGCAAGTGACCATGCTGTGGGAGCAGTACTTGGATAGAGAAAATATAAAATAAAGCATCCAATCTACTATGCAAGTAGAACATTGAATGGTGCTCAACTGAATTACACAGTGACAGAAAAAGAGATGCTAGCAGTGGTGTTCGCATTTGACAAATTCCGGTCCTACTTGATAGGTTCGAAGGTAATTGTTTATATTGACCATGCTGCTCTCAGGTACCTAATTGATAAAAAGGAAGCAAAGTCGCGCCTGATTTGATGGGTTCTACTGCTACAAGAGTTTGACTTGGAAATTCGTGACCGGAATAGAACGGAAAACCAAGTTGCCGATCACTTGTCTAGGATTGAAGGAGCTGAAACGAAGGTTGAGGTGGAAGATATCATGGAGACTTTCCCGGATGAACAACTGTTATCCACGATCCTTGAGGAAGCGCCATGGTATGCAGACATTGCAAACTACCTGGCAAGCAGTATTGTTCCCTATGAATTGTCTTCTGTGCAGAAGAAAAAGGTTTTTCGTGATTGTCGCATGTATTTCTGGGATGAACCATATTTGTTTCGGATTTGTATTGATAACATGATCTGGAGATGCATTCCCGAGATAAACCAAGCTTCTGTTTTGCAGGCATGTCATGCTTTGCCTTATGGAGGTCATTTCGGAGGAGTAAGGACAACTGCTAAAGTTTTGGAGTCGGGCTTCTATTGGCCGACGTTGTTTAAAGATGCACATTTTTGGGTAAAAAGCTGTGATGAGTGTCAAAGGATGGGGAATATTTCCCGTCAACATGAGATTCCCATGAACCCAATCCAAGAAGTAGAAGTATTTGATGTATGGGGAATCGACTTTATGGGACCATTTGTCAGTTCATAGAACAACAAGTATATACTCGTAGCAGTGGACTATGTCTCGAAATGGGTAGAAGCTATAGCACTCCCAACAAATGATGCAAAGGGAGTTATTGGTTTTCTAAGAAAAAATATCTTCACCCGATTCGGAACTCCAAGGGCGACCATTAGTGATAGAGGAACTCACTTCTTCAATTGAGCCTTCACAAAGTTG